TTTTTTTTCTTAGGACCCGAAGTTTTCGGTATTTATACACGAATAAAGCTGAAACAAGCATTAAATGTATGGTGCCATCTAGGAGCGTAGGGTGGCGCAACTTGTATCCATGCAAAACTCTCTTTTTGAGGATAATACGGTTCGGGTGGTGCCATCAGCTTTATCAGTTCGGTGTTATGACGAGGGGCGATCGGTAATCTTCCTCAAAAAGACTTGAAGGTGGTAGGACCAGGTCCCGACCAATCGAGAGATCGACAAACCTAGTCCAGGCTCTTGGGTCGCCCGTGAGATGGTCCGCGTGTTTAATGGGTCATTCACTTTTGATGTGAGCTTGACCCAGTATTTGGGCTGCATCTTTTGGGGAGCTTTGTGTTCAAGTATTTCCTAAGTACACCACTTTATCTTAGTACTTGAATTCACTTAATTTTAATAACACTACTAATAGAAAACTTTATTGAAAAAAGTATGATTTTGTAGTTGGTAGTTGAGATATGAGGGTTGATGTCTAGGAAAACTTTGTGAAAGAAAGAAAAAATAATGATTTTGTAGTTGATACTTGAGATACGAGGGTTGATATGGCACCTAATAAGCCCATAATAAGTTAGGTTCACCATCTCGTAGTAAGCTTGGTTATTTGGTAAGTTAGTCAATTTGGCAGCGGCTATTTTTGCCATCATTCATTTTAATTTGCTCAGAAATCATTCAATACTCATGTACACACATTAATGTCCCAAACATAATAAGAGTATATAAATAGTAGGGTAATTATACCATCATATACTCCTTGTACATGTCTTGTACATATCTGACAATATGCACCAATTGAAATTATGACACGTGTCATTTTACTTTCTTAAATATTTTGTTCAAAAAAATCTCATTAATTAAACTACTAAATTACCTTTACTTAAAAACTGAGAGAAAAATAATTTAAGTGATACCAAAATTTTATTTTATTTTTGGTTTCGGCACCAAAATTTTCACTTAATCAATTATTGTACCAACCAGAAAGATGGCATAAAATTACGAAAAAATGAAAAAAAAAATTACAAAAAGTATCATTTTAAGTTTTGAGGCTCATATGAGTTTTTTCTCCAAACGATAGATTTCATTAGAAGAAACACATATTTACAAACTAGAATACCACTACCCAGTCAAATAAAGCAGTTACTTAGTTGAATCTAGTTGGGAGAACTACACAAAGTGTAACATAGAAAAGAGCACACACACCAAACACTAAAACTAAACAAACTCCCACGAGTGGAGAATACAGAAGCTCCCACAAGTAGAGAAAAAAAGCTCCCAATGGGTGAATACTGAAGACAAACGAACACATAAAAACACAAAAGAAAACTAAAACTCACAGGCAAAACAAAATAACCTAAGATTTAGCCTAAATTAATGCTCTCCTCACCAGACACGAACACCCAACAACCCACAACCCGAGCTAACACCTTACGTGATCCACCGAGAATAAGCTACACGGTCCACGTCCCATCACACCGGGTCTAGAAATTCCCCTAACAGCTAATTAGACTCGGTCCAATAGAACCTCCCTCAGTACACTACAGAAGCAACCAAGGTCGGTCCTAACTACTACCCCCCTCCCCCAACACACACACATACACTCGGGTCCGTGATTTATATGGAGCTTAATGAACTACTGCCCAAGACAAGTGTGTAATTGTTCTTAGTCGAGTACGATCAAAAGATCACCCTCGAGTCGTCTTCTCGAAGGAAGGTTGGTGTAGCACAACTCGAACGATAGGGAGAAGAGATGAAATCTCACGCAAATAATTTCTTACTCAACAAAAACTAGTCGTTTAACCTTTTGCAACATAATAAATAGACTCCAACATTCTAAATCCTTATCTTGTTAAACATATAAAAGGATTATTCTCCTAATCTATTACTATAAAATAGAGTTAAGAAAAAATAAATTTTTAGTTAGGTTTTTCCCTCCAAAAAAATTCGAAAATTTTCATTTTTCCGCCTCTTTTACGTGCATACTTTTAAATGCATGGTTCGTGCATGGATCATTGGTTTTTTTCAAAAATTTGATTTTTATTACTCTATTTATTTCACCTGTTTTACCTATTTTAACTCCTTATTTATAGGATTGATATCATTTCCTTAATTCTTGGATGGGAAGGAATTTGAGATAAGATTTGTTACATTTTTCAAAATCCGATTTTGCACCTTTTTTGTTTTACTCGCTTTTCGTTTTTTTTTTTTTTGGGTGGGATGAGATGAAATTTGTACACAAAATAATCAACAATTACAAACAAATTTCTAGACTCATGTATAAAGGAGTGCATTCCTTTACATTTGCTTCTTCAATTCCCTTCTGAAATCATCCTGCAAGATACATAAACACACGTGTTTAAAAAAAAAAACAATGCGACCAGTGTTTGACAGACTCCACGCGGTTACTAGGGTGAACAGACCTTTTTTTTTTTTTTAAATTAAAAGTAGTTCTAATTGTTGATACCGATTACGAATTGAAGACAAAAAAATTCTGTGCTATCATATTTGAACATCAAGAGGTAATATTTTCTATCCTATATGTATCTATTAGTGGTTGTATTAAATATTGTTGTGTATTTAAAATTTGGAAAATTAATATTGTTGTGTATTAAATATTACTCGATGTATACCAAAAATATTAGTGGTTGTATTATATTTTATTATGTTAATAATAAAATTTATTATAATGAAGATTTTGAAATGAAATTAGGAGTTGAGTATTATACTTTTTTTTCATATAATATAAACGAGTTAATTTTTTTTTATTTTAATTATGTTTTGCATAATTAGATGTTAAGTTTAATTAATTACATTTAAATAAGTATTTCAATATGTTTTAAGTTATGCGCCCGCCGTGCATCGCACGGGTACCATACTAGTTAAATAAAGCAAACAAATAACATAAATAACTAAGATAATAAAATAATCTTAAAGTTGAAGAGGATCGTATTTTGCTAGATACACAAGCGCGATCTCGTCGCCATCATCCTTCCCCGGTTGAGGAGAATTCACCCTCGAATCCGAATCAATCTCGTCGTCGTCCGAAGTCTCACCTAGATAAGGCACCAAATGTGTGACGTGGAACACGTTAGAAGTCCGAACATGCGATGATAAACAAAGGCGATACGTATGAGGATTGATCTTCTCCATGACCGCGACCGGACCAATTTTACGAACGGACAACTTGGTATATGCGCTAGCCGATAAGTTATTCGTTGTCAAGAGCACCCACACATAATCACCGACTTCAAACTCATTACCGTCGACGTGTGTACATAAAACAGAATTTATTATTCCCGAACCTACGCGCATCAGCCCCACGTCAGATCAATTATTTTGAAAATCAACACCAGCACTCACAGGACTTCTACTCCCACTACCAGGACCAATAAAATAGCAATGATCTATACGTTTGTCAACAGACAAAGATCCATGAAATGAACTCACCCCAAAATCCATTAAATGTGCACCACCACAATGCCCAATATCTTTACCTAGCTGTAACTCATCATGAACCATCCCAGGCTGAGGAAAATATTTAGCCTCCAAACCAACCTGAGCGTCTAAAAATGGAAGCAGGCACCACAGGTAGAACAACCTCAAGAGCTCTCGCGTGGGACTCGTCCTCAGATGCCTCGGGACATGTTAGCGGTGCACATAAAGAATCCTTCGACGAGATCTGAGGGGAGAGATACAAACGACGAAGAACCAAAGCATGACCAACATCTCCGTATAGATAAATAATT